AAGGAAAGGAAAGGAAAGGAAAGGAAAGGAAAGGAAAGGAAAGGAAAGGAAAAAGGAAAAAGGAAAAAGGAAAAAGGAAAAAGGAAAAAGAGAAGAGACTCTGTAACACTTCTCTCTTCCTACCTAGAGATTTCTGAGTCAAACACCTACTAAGGCTGGCACCTCACTGTAAATGCTGGGCTGCGGTTTACCTTGTGTCCTACATCAGAAATAAATACCCAGAGGCAGCAGCGTCCTGATATGATGTTCTTTTGCCCTGCAGTGCCAGACCAGAGGTGGTCCTGACCTGTAAAAAGTATCTATTTTCCAAGAAAGGTCCTTTTCCCGACCACGTCCCACCATCCGACTGCCTTCACCCTGTACCGGGACGTGTATTGAAAGAAGATGGTGAAAGATTTAATTTTCCTTTGGGAGATGCAATTACAGCAGAAATACTGCAGGAGAGGCAGACTCTCAGACTCTGGCTTCTCAGTATCTCATTATTTATTACAAATGTAGCAAACATTGGGAGTCTACAACCAGCTTAGAGTGCTCATAAATTAGAGGCTGTAGGACTACTTTGGGGGGGGGGGGGGAAAGGAAAAGAAAGAAAATCGAGATCCAGATTTGCAGACGTCTGCCTTGAGGCATGGGGGAAATAGGAGGCAGAGGGTAGATTCGGGGTGATTTTCGATAATACAAACGTGGAGAGGAAAGGTCCTCCCTCCCCGTCCTCAGGTGGGGCCATGGGACGGGTCCTGCCCTGGCGAAAAAAAACGGTCCAGTTCCCGTGAAGAAGAGAATTGAAAGGAAAAGGCAAAACGTGAGGGAATTGCTGGAAAATATCCTGAGGAAAGAGAATCCCTTCTCTGTCTATAAAGCCCTGGCCATGCATGAGGGATCCCTCCCGCCGCCCTGCTGCGGGTCGGTGCGAGGCACCCAGGAGGGACCAAGAGGAGAAGATGCTCCTTTTCTCCTTCTCCTATTCCTTCTTCTTCTCATTCCTGCCCCTGCAGCAAGGGCTCGCTCCCGCCCCGGAGGATCCCTCCAGAGGGTTTCTAACGCCGCACTGGGACCTTCCAGGATATCGCCTCCTGCCTGGGAAAAGCGGTGCCTTTCCCACCCCCGCCTGCCCGCTTCCACCGGAAAACCCTCTAGATGAGCCGGTGGGCTTCTAAGCTGGCTTCTGCCAGCCGAGGGGTCCATGTCGTCTCCCCGCTTCAGTCAAAGACCCCTCCTCCAGGGACCCAGCAAAGCAATTCTTGCACCACCCCGCTCGGGCTGGTGCCGAAGGCGGGGTTGGGGAGGGGGGGACACCCGAAACCACAGCCAGCGGCTCCTCCCCGCCGGGCGCCAGCCTCCCTTCAAGGCATGCCCCGCTCAGCTCCGCCGTCGGGAGGTGGGGGCGGCGGCCCGAGGGGGCGGCCCCCTCCCCGGGAAGGTGGGCGCGTGCCTGTTCTGATGCCGGCTGCTCTCCCCTCCTGCAGGTACTGGGATGATTTCCACGCCTGCACCCTCACAGCGCTCACTGACTGCCAGGAAGGAGCGACAGACCTCTGGGAGAAACTGAGACGGGAATCCAAAAACCTCGATTTCCAAGGCAGCTTATTTGAACTGTGCGGAGGCGGCAGCGGCGCGGCACCGTCCCTCCTCCCGCCGGCCTTGCCCCTGCTCCTGGCGGCTCTGTGGGCCGCCCTAGTGACCTGGCTGCCTTTCTAGGGGGGCGAGCACACTCACACCCACACCTTCTCCATGTGCTGGATCTATAGAGGAAGTGTCCATCCGTTGCTTTGGGGACGTTGTGCTTTTCTGTGGTTGATGATGATGATGATGATGGTGGTGGTGGTGGCTGATGATGGTGAAACACCCATGTAGGACTGTGGAAGCGTTCTCCCTTTATTTTTTTGTGTTTTATTTGCCAAATGTTACCAACAGGCAGCGGCGCGCAGCCCAAATCGGACCTCAGCTTTACTAACGCTTCGAATCAAAAATAGAAAAAAAAATAAAGAAACAAACTCGAGCCCTCGTTGCGCAAAAGCAATCTCAGGAACGGCTCCGGGCCACCTACTGCTAAGGCTGTAACCGGCCGGGTACCTCCCGGCGAGCCACGGGCTCCGCTAAAAATGTGGCAGTGTGCGAGGCGAGAACAAAAACCGCAGACAGAAAAAGGCACTGGCGATAAATCCAAGGTAGATGTCCACGTGTGAAGCATATGGTGAATAATTCACAATCTCTCATCTTTCCTCCACAGTCGCTTGTTTTTTTTGGTCATTCCACTGCAAAAAAATTTAAAAAATAAATAAAAAAGAACATTTTTCCTCAAGGGGAAAAGAGCGAGAGAGGGAGAGAAAGAGAGGGAAACGAGCAGTTAAGAAAGGAAGGAAGGAAGGAGCAAGCAAAAGAAAGACGTGTCTAAATGCCCGGAGGAGTGAAGGAATGCTGCTAACATCTCTGAGAGTTTACCTTTACTTGCTGTTCGAAGGCATCTTTCCGAATTCACTGCCTTTAATTTTTTTCCTCCTCTTTGTTTTAGCTGTTACACATACCAGTAAAATACCTGAATATCCAACCGTAGAGAACACAAAAAGGGGGCTTAAATGTAAACCTAAAGGAAAAAAAAACAAAACAACAACAGCAAATGATTTTGAAAAAAAAAAGAGCCTTGATTTTAAAAGAGATGAAATATGTAATTTAAACAAAAGTTTATTATAAAGTCAATTCAGAAAAAAAACCAAACAAAAAAAGATTTGCTACAAAGTATAGACAGAAGTATAAAATAAAAATTATTGTTTGAAATGAGGGTGTCGTCCTTTTTATAAAATATGCCTAGAATATCTTGGAAAGGACAGGGCTTTGAAGGCAAGGAAGTCTAAATCCTGAATCCATCCCTTGGCAAACATGCCAATTTCAGTTCAAACAAGGACAGGGTGGCTGAGTCGCTTAGTCAGAGCCTTTCTGCTTTTTTTTTCCTTTTCTTTCTTTTTCCCCCCTTCATTTCTCTCTTAAAAATACGCTATAAATCTTCCCACCTTCCTCCTCCTCCTCCTCCTCTCGAAGCCGCGAACCGCAGCACCCTCGTTTCCCAGCCGCCCGGGACTGGCGAAGGGAGCCCCCCGCAGAGAAGGGGGCGGACGGCGCGGCTCTCCCGCGGGCGCGGAGCCGTGCGGAGCCCCGATGGAGGGAAGGCAGCAACCACCATTAAGGAGGAGGCTGCCGAGTCGGAGCCGGGGCGCAGAGGAGCCCTTTCATAATTAATAAGGCAGCTCAGCCGAAGAAGCAAGGGGAAGGGGGGGACGGGGTATTGATTTCGCAGCAGAAGCTGCTCTAACCTCGGCTATTTATAGGCGCCTGATGCCTTTATAAAGAAATGCACATCAAAGAGTAAACACGTCCTTTTTACTTATAAAGCAAGAGCCCAGCTGGCGACCGGGGGTGGGTGGGTGGGTGAGTGGGCGATGGGGAGGTAGGGGCCACAAGTTGGTGCGAGGTGATTTATTCCAGTGGGGAGCCGTTCCCTGTGCAATAGCTCTCTTTACCAATGTGTAGGGTGGAGGGTCTCTCCTTCGCCCCCTCTCCCCTTCCCTTCCCAAGGTCCGCAATGTAATGTGTAAGCAATAGCAAATGTAACAGTTCATAAATCAAACAGTGGGTCGCAAGCCAATCTGCATTTCCCAAACGGATTGAATCCCAGCAACGAATGCGCTCAGGAACTGGAGCCAGGCGCCTTTACCACTGGAAGCAATGTTGATTTTTTAATGATAAAATACATTATGCGTGTGTTAGGGGGGCTTTGCAGAGCTCAGCCTCGCTTCAGCAGATACAAGTCTGTTGGAATTTCGTTTTCTTTTGGCCTCCCTCTAGTCTCAGTCCCCACCACCACCAAAGAAAAAGGAAAACCCTGGAGAGCAGAGCTTTGTTTAAATGGTTTGGGTTATTTTCCCTCCCCACAGAGGATATAGACCTAAATTGATTTTTCTGTGCACATCTCTGTATTCATGAGGTCAGGCGCTGCTGTTATGGTTTCCTGTAGCACGAAATTACAGATGCCGAGGAGAGACGGAAAAGAGAGCCCTTGCTGGGGTACGGGGAGCTCCGCAGCCTGTTGTCTACGCCGGCCGGGCTCCGGGGACCCTTGCCGGCGGCAGCCCCGCTCCGCCCCGGGGTGCCTGGGCGCAGGTCCCGCCCGCTGCCGGCATTCCCGACACCGCCCCCGCCTTCCCGGCTGCTGGACGGTGTCCGTCCGTCGGAGAAAGGTGGAAGGGAGCCTCCCAGCCTTCCCTCTCACCCCTCAGAAGAAAGTTGAAACGCCATAATAAGGGGGCGATTTCCAGCTCATTAGAGGACTCGAGTTATCTTCGCGTGAGGTTCAATTACTAATGGATAATCTCTCCGTAATTAGCACATCCCCCAATTAGCCCTTCATCGAGGAGGATAATAAACGGTGGCAAGGCGGGGAAAAACAGCCCAGCGGGTTGAGAAGGAGCCCTGTGGTCTTGCCCGGGCCCCTTCCCTCCCCTCCTGCCTCCCCCTGGACTCTCCTGTCTGGGGCTTCTAATTGTCGGGTGCCACGGGGCCTCCCGGGCTAGCCTAGCAGCACCCCGGGATTTCCCGCCCAGACGGCAGGAAGTGAAGCAAACCGCGGTATCGCCGGCTCAGCTCCTCCTGGACAACCGGCAAGCGCGGCTCTCCCCGCCGGCAGCTCCGTGGTTTTTTTCGGCGAACACTAGCAATTAACAAACTCCCTCTCACCTTCCCCCGTTCATTTTATAAGAGCTCCTCAATGCGCGAGGCATTGGTTGTTCTCTTTCCTGCCCCTTTCAGGGGTTATTTCTGAAGCCTGCGAGCAATAGTCGATTTTATTTTTTTTTTTTTGACCCCAGGGGTGGTTGCTCTGCCTTGCCTTGTTGTGTGGCCAAGGAAACATAAGCCGTCCGCCAAGTCCCAGAAAGGGACTGAGTGTACTGGATTTGCCTCCTGCCGCCTTGCACCTGTAGGGTTTGTAAGGGCTGCGGGGGAAGGCTGGGGTGTCGCTTGCCAGGCTGGTCCCACTGCCCCAGGCAGCAGCTGCTGTAGCAAGAGCTTGAAAAGGTTCAAACTTCTGAACATTCCTTCTTAACTCCTGGGCAAACGTGAGCTGGTGAACTGGAGAGGGGAAAAATGCAACAGAAAAGCATTTAAATGTTGACAGAGACCACAGTAAAATTATCCCCTACTTAAAAAAAAAAAGCGCACACACACACACAAAAACATAAATGCAGATCAACAGGAAAAAAACCACAGCCGGAACAAAACACAAGCCAGTGCATTTCTAGCTGGCTGGATAATCGGCAAGGCTTGCAGCCATTGCGGCTCTGCCTGCCCTAATTCCTGTCCCCAGCTCCGACTGAGCAACCGCATCCCCGCAGTCCCCGGAGGGCCGCGGGGAGCTGGCTCCTTCCCCGGCAGTGCTCGATGCACCCGTGCTTGGCAGGCGGCTGCTCTCCTCCTGCCTTCCCCTTTTAGCAGCCTGGCTGAGCCCTGGAGGCAAGGCTGCGCCTCGCCCCTGCCTGGGCTGCCCTCCGCCACGGCGAGACAGTGCCAGCACTGGGCTGAGGTGGTGGTGGTCGATTCTTTTTGCTTTATGGGGGGGTGTGGGGGAAAGTCCTTTCCCATCTCTTCAAAGGCTGTAACAGGGAGATGGAGCGGGCCTGCGCTGGGAGAAAAAGCTTGAGTACAAATATACAAAACTGAGGAAAACCTATATATGAATGGTAGTGAAGGCAGACTGGTTGGTGCTTACAGAGAGAGCAGGGAGGTATGGTATAAAAGTAAGCTGCAGTACTCACTTCACAGGACTTTCTGGTGGCTATGTCTACGTTTCAGAAGCAGCAGCCAGATACTGTTGGCCCCTGGCTCATTTGCACAGTCTAGGGATGAATGGATTGGTGACTCTTCCAGCCCGCTTCCTCTTCAGGACCCTTTTTAAATCTGTGCGGTTGCTGTCCTGCCCAGTGAAACCCAGTAGATTCTGTGAAGGGCTGACAACCTAAGGAGAAAGAGGCCAATTCAGCCTTCCTATTCATCAGGGCTGATTCATTAATGATTAGTGCCATTAGGTGTACTACAGCAGTGCCTGAGGGTCCCAATTAAAGGAAAGTGAGCTTGTTAAAGCCAGATTCTCCCTCTGTTACTCCTGCCTGATGCAGAGGTAGTGCCTCCAGGGTGGACAGCAAGAATAACCCCGGCTTTCCAGGTATGCAGCCTCTGTGCCTTTCCCCCTCACTCCTCTCACTTTTCCCTCTCCTTCACCTTAGCTGCAGATCCTGCCTACAGGGTGCTGCGGAGCGAGGCTAGTGCAGGAGTTGGCTAGAAGGACTCGCAGGAGGAGGTGGCAAATCAGGTTATTTTTCTGAGCCACTTCATTTTTCATCACGAGTGGGTTTGGGTGGTTTTTTTTGGTTTATTGGGTTTTTTTGGTAGGGTTTTTTTGGCAGGGTTGGGGCAGGCAAAGTGATAAGGACTGCAGAGGAGTCTGTTACAAAATCAGATACGATTTTAGCTGTCTGAAAGAGTTCCTTTAGGCTACAGGCAGCTGATGATCAATGGTGCTGTTGGCAAATGTGCTTCCAGCTGGCTGCTGCCTCTCTTGAGGGACAGTTTCAACGCAAGGTTCATTGCAATCGTGATACCGCAAGGGGCTTTCATTTACTTTGGGCTAAGGATCTGCTGCCCAGTTCCACCAGTGAGAAGAAAAGCTGGAGGTGATGTGGGAGAGTGACAACAGCACTGTTATTGGTGAGTTATTGGTTGTTCCTTTCCCCTCAAATTCCCATGGTGGGTCTGTGTAAAAAATTTCTCTAAAGGCCCTGTGGCCTCCTCCTGAACTGTGCGTTTGCTAACAGATGGGCAGATTGTGCTAGCATAGGCTTTGCCTTTCAGGAGGTACTGAAAAAATAGGTTTAAATGGTTTAAATTGTCAGAAACCCAGCCTGTGGCCTGTGCCCTAGCTTTTTAGGCTTTATTGTTTGTTTTATTTTGTTTGTTTGCTTATCTCCAAAGCTGATATAAAAGAAAGACTGAAACAGCCTCCCGAAGGTCAAGGTGAGACTGACCATCATCTGAGTGCTGATATTCACCAGCAGCAATAAATCCTTGTTCCCAGGTGCTGGAAGTCTCTTCAGCTAGAAAAACAACATTACTGCAGGGGCAAACAACTAGTCCTGACCTTTACACAGCCATTCTTTGGGAAAAAGTATCGCCTGAAGTCAATATGCATTCTGCCGAGGTAAGGATTTTGTATGCTCAGTTTTACCTGAAACAGGAATGTTATTCAAATATGAACTCTGGGTTCGTGCCACCAAAATACAAAGTGCTTGTGTGTGCATCATGCTTTGCACCTTCAGGTTTCTTGGCTATGATATCAATTTATTAAGGACTGTGAAAAACTTACTAAATCTCTCAAGCATCAAAGATCAAATCTTCAGGGCACCTTTTTTGCTGTGAAGCAGCCTCAAGTGTGGATGGGCAGTGCGTCCTTTAATACCATTTTAATACCACCATTTTTTTTAACACTTTGGAAACTACTGGATATTCAAATTGATGGAACAAAAAAACCAAACCTCAGTCAACCAAACTAGAAAAAAAAAGAGGCATAAGAAAGCATAAGAAAGAAGCAACCACTTATATTGATAGGAGTTGTTTTAAACAGATTTATCCCACCTTAAACCATCTATTTTGCTGCAGGCACTGTCAGTAAGTTTTCTTTAGGTACATAGTATAATTCTGCCAAACGCACCTCTTCAAGAGTCAAACCATGTGTCTAAAATAGTGTCTCTCTTTGTCAGAACTTCTTATAGTAGTATCTTAAGTACAAGAAGTTTTGCAGTACATTGCCAGTTTGGTATTTATGCTTCTTTTAATGCATTGTGTTTTCACTAGATAGTGTAGGAGATTTTTTCCATTCCTGTGCTCCCTTGGGGCACTTTCAATTTTCCAGTCCCCTGGCACAAGCTGCCTTTTGCAAAGGAACAATTCCTGTAAAGCCACTGCCTCATTTTGTTTCCCATATTCTAAGAAATCCTTAAATTATGTTGTCAAATAAAAAATCCAGAGCGTATTTCGTTGGCATGGAACATTGGTCACATTAGTTTTGCAACGCCTCATTGAAGGATCCAATATGTCAGAAAATTGTCCTAAACTTTGTTTTTTATTGAGGCTTAATAGATGCCCTTGTCCCTTTTACTAGACCTGTGATGCAAGACTTAGTTTTATTCTGTTGCCAAGACATTTCATTTGATCTCTTTCACCTTTACTTCCAGTGTCTATTAAATGGGAGTAGCACTTTGAGACAGTTGGTGGGTGAAAAATGCTACATGAGGAGGTAGGCATTATTAATTAGAACAATCATTTTATCTTTTAGCTTTCATCAGAAGAAAAATGCCTGAATTGAAGTGACAACAACAAACAATAGGTAAAGGATGCTTCCCTGTGGCTTCATAGATCTGCTGTGTAACAGAAAACATTCAGCCCTGTGTGCCCAAGAGTTGTGGTTCACACCTCCATCTGAAGAAGCCTCATCTTAAAAGATGGTGTAGCATACCACCCTAATGCAGATGCTGCTTTGCAGGCATTTCTGGCTGTGAATTTCAGGCTGCATCCTTGGCTAAGCTGTCGAGGCCAAGTTGCAATACCTGCCCTTCTTGAAGAGATCCCAGTCCATTTTCAGCCATGTCTCTCACTTCTTGCAAGCTCCCTGTTTTGCTGTGCATCAAAGGTTCATTTAATTACCTTCCCTCTCTTTTCTTTAGGTGTTGGTGATTTGCACTCTCTCCACCTAAATCAGATATCTGGCACATCAATACTTAGGAGGCTTAGGAGAAGAAGAAAACATCAATATTTCACTGAACACACAATGTCGCACAGCTCCCCACAACTCCCAGTCTCCATTTTAATGTCCACCATGGTTACTTTGTTTTGGTCTTTTTTGTCAGATGACTGATTTCAGTTTCTCTTTGAATCCCACCTGTGTGAATAGCTTGTTTTTCTCCCTAGCAAGTGTTAACAAGGAACTGAAAGGATTTTGTTCAGGCTCACCAGTCAGGCAGCCCTGAGGTGGCTGACTTCTAGGAAAAGCCACAGCAGGAACAAGTGAGAGCCAGCCTACGCACCAGACACAGCTTTGTTGGTCTTTAGTTTATGTTCCAACTCGTGCTCGTGTTAAATGAATCGCCGTTAGCAACTGTAATACAGACAAATGCAAGGAAGAACAAGCTGGACGCTTTATCACGGAACTGTGCTTGGGAGTGATGGCCCATTGTAACACAGACTCACCCACCACAGTGGAGCTGTGCCAGCTCACGGCAATTTAAGACTTGCTGCGCTCACTGTAGTCCATGCTCTGAAGTTCCTGATCTCATCCTTTGTGTGAACTAGATCATGCAAATGGGGACACTGGAGTCACAGGGAAGTTGAGTAGAGTTCCGCATGAGCACTGATGTGAGAATGAGCTGCAATTAGCTCTAAACTCACTCTACCAGCCTGTCATTTCTGAGCTCTACCCCTGCTGCTCTGTAACTGGAAGACTTTCGCTCTAGAAGATGGGGAGAAGAACATTTTGCTCATGCTCATATTAATCAAGTCGTCTTATGAGCTACTGAATCTGTGAAATTGTATCTCCCGTGGAGTTCAGTGGTAATGACTGTCTCTGATGTGGACTCTCTGGTGTCTAATAATACAGTTTTGTTTCTGCAGTGGATGCACTCCTAGCATTTTTTCTCCTCTGCCTGCCTACTTCCACAGCTTAAACCTTTGAAACTTCTATCCCCTGTCAAGTTTGATCAAACTCAGCTCACAGGCTCAAAAAATTATTTAGGAGGGACCGACTGGCACTTGCACAAAACAGTGTGATCTCATAAGCTTCCTTTCCTTGGGAAACTAGGCTACCAACCTAGCAACGGGGGGAAAAAAATGCCATCCTGCTAGCAAAAAGGACCTCAACACTTGGTGGAAAGAGGAGAGGTGGGAGAGGAAAGTGAAGCTGTTTTAAGGGAGAAAAATAACTGCCTTGTGGCTGCAGAGCTCTCATACACTTAAAGGGCCAACCTTGGAGACACATGCTGGAGAAAATATTCTCCAGGAGATGATAAGTTCTCTCGTGAAAATTGGTAAGGGAGAGAAATCACCTGGACTCATCTTACCACCAGGCATGCTAAATGGATATCTATATGGTAAGAATTGTCCTCAGTGGTACCTGTTTCTCTCTGTGGACTAGAGGAAGCCACAGACACAACTAGCATGCAACTCATGTGCCTGCAGTATCTAAAACAAGGTGGATCCTATCCCAAAGGGAATGGTCTTCTTACCACTCTGTCCTTCAGACCAAAGTTTTCCATGGTGCTGCTGCAGGTTTTGTTACTTCATGTACTAGGTTTGTATGTTAGAAAAGTTGTTGTATGTCTTAATAGCTGCAGATGTATGCATGGTTTTACTGGGCATTTATTAGCACTTATCCTCTTTGCACTAAAACCTTTCTTGTCCTTGTACCTTATGGAATAAAATTCTTTAAGTGAGCTTTAATGATTCTATGATTCTACTTCTTTACAAATTAGGAGCTGTTATCCTGCTTTTATTTGCTATCACATAATACTTGAGGCTGTCAAAAGTATTATAGTGCATATTCATATAAATTGATATTTAATTTCAGTAATTATAGTGTCACTAATTGTATTTTTGCACCTGATGCAATTACTGACATTCAGCTCTTTAGATCTACTTTGTTCTTTCTAGATTTAGGCATTCCTTACTCTTTAATCTTCCCTGCCTATGGTAAATCGTATGCACAATGAAACTTGGAAATAAAAGCTCAGACCTTCCCATCAATTGCTGTGTGCCAAATGCATGGGATAGTTTAAAACTGTGTGTGTACCTAGAGTGCAGGATACACTGAAAACGCCATTGCCTATTTATATGTCTTTTTTATGAGGCTTAGAGTGGGTTGTGTTATCCAAATACTGTACAGTGCTTAACTACTTGTACTGGCCTATTGGTAAAGGTTTTCCAATTTTTAGGGGGCTTTTTTTGCTTGTAACCTTTCACTTAAAATTATTCGAGGGCTGCTCTGGCAGCCCCTTGCACCTGGTTTCTTGATACTCTTTTCCTCATTGCCTTGCACTGGTGCATTTGTTATGTTGTATTCCCTGGGAAAGGGTTTGCTTCCTATACCTCAGCCATCCTCTTGTCCTCTTCTCCTCTATCTCATTGCATTGCTGTTGAGTTATATATAATTCATAGTCTGCACTGAAGTTCCCACACAGTCTCCACTTGGTGCCTTCATACCAATGACTGCATATTAGAACAAATATTACATATAATGAGTAAATAATAGTAATTTTAATAGCGGATAAGCAATACCTAATTACAGACAAGTATAAGGCTTATCAGCCAATTAATGTGCAACATTTGTACTTAATTAAGCATAATCCAGTCAGTGCCAGTGTTGTCATCAGACAAAGATCACTGAAAAGCAGTTTGAGCAGGCTTTAATGAAGGGTGTAATTTTACTAGGGTGTGGTTGTCGGCAGAACTGTGATCCCTTGTTGCACTGGAGCAGATACCCAGGAGAGGACTCCCGACTTCATTTCGTCTTGGTTGGCTACAGTTTTCCTTTTAACCTTGAACTTGATGTATGCCATCAGCTACAAAATCCATGAATAAAGTGTGTGCTTTGTGTCTCTCAACCTGCCTCAACTTTCTTTGTGTTAAAGTGCAAAGTAAAAAACTCATTTGGGCCATGTAATTCCTGCTCTGTCCCAGCAGACTTTGAGGACAGTGATCCCTCTTCTTAAAGATGCCATTGGTCTCTAGGTTATAGTCCACACGGAAACTTGTTTTGATTCAATTTCATTAATAGAAAACCTTTAGTGAGCAGTACATCTCTATTATTATTGCCACATGTCAATATTATTGCCATCCATTATTTCACTTTAGGAGTGGCTTTTATTATTCTAGCTTTGAAAACTGTCCCCAACTGTCTTAAATTAAACCAACATAAATTTAATTTAACCTGAAGGGAATGACTACTCCCAGACAGTTGCCATGCTTCTCTGCTTGTAGCAGTACATGGTGCTTCAAGATTTTGCGGCCTATGACAGAGCCATGGCTGCATCCAAGATGGAGTGTCCGTGTGGTAAGGAGGACTGACTTCACTACGTTTTACTGTTTGAGCTCGTCTGTAAAAACAAGCCCTTTGACTGAGTGACTAAATTCACTGCTTGCTACAAATGCATGTAATTTATAGATCGTATCGTAACAGTGGGGCCTGAGCTGGGTGCCCAGGGGGTGATGAGGTAGTATGACAGTGGACAGGTATTATGCAAACTGCTGCTTGTACAGTTTGTTGCATAAAGCTTTATGTTACAGCTTCTTTGGAGCAAAGACTTAGAGGTCTGCAGAGATGCTCTCTCAAAAAAAAAATAGCCTAAAACTACAACAAAAGTTAATTTGCACTGAAGTGACTGGAAAACCTTAACAACAAGGTGAGTAACCTAAAAAGGACCTACAGCCTTTAAATCAATCATATCTGAACAAAAAAATTCAATCTCCTTACATCAAGACACTCTTTGCCCAAATATCCCAAGCAGTGTCTCCACAACAGGCATCCAGGTAGCCATGAGAAACATGGCTTGTATCTAGTGATTTAAAAATCACCAGCAAGGGTGATTCCATACCTCCTCAGCCTTTGTTGCTGCACTTTCTTCTTCACTGTTAAAGGTATCTTTCTCCTAAGCTCAAACTGAATTTTCCAGCTTGAGAAATGACTATGAACAAGTTGGCTAAACGCCTTTCAGGAATGACACAGACCACATGTGGACATCATGTGGACCTCTCCAACACTTTTTTGTGGCTTTCTAGAATTCTAATGTGATAAATGAACAGCCTCAGGAAGCACTTGCTCTTTTAAAACATTTTCTTTTTGCAGAATATGCTCTTTTGATTAAATAAACAACATTATTTGGTCATCAATCATTTCCATGTTTTCTGACCAGCTTTTCTGAAGTCTCACTAGGGCAAAGACTTGCGAACAAGTACATGAGGTTATTCTTGTCTCTTTCAGCTCCTGGCCTGGGCAGAAGGAAAGCCCCCTCAATTAAATCCACCATGTCCTCAACTGGTTACCCTCCTCTACCATGGCCTTTTTGCAGCACCTTTCCTCAGCAGCTTTGTAAACTATATTCCCCTCACCAACCATGACTGTGGTCAACTGAGACCTCCAAATGTCAAAGCCAGTAATAGGGGTAGTGTCTCCTAGCACCACGTCCTGGAGAGCTGATGGACTCCCAGCAAAAGGAGCAGATTATAAGGCAGTGGAGCTTTAGTATTTTTACACTGTGACAAGGAAACTTTGTGTCTTAGGTTACTTATAGAAGCTGCTTCAGAGGATGAAGGTGTAGGAGGAAACATAGTCAAGAGAAAAAAGCTTACCCTGAATATTTCCATTCAGCATACAGGAAAGCTGCTTGGTGACATGCAGAGGTTTGCCCCAACTTTCTGTGTAAATAGCACTTGGCTTTATCATGTGGACTTAGCACCTTTTCTGGAGGAGCTGGGGTCAAAATTGACTGCATGTACTCTGCATTTGGCAGTGAGAAAAAAACTCCTTGGGGGCTGTGGAGCTCTGAGAGCTTTAAAAATGTATTTAAAGGTCAGACAGCAGCTTTGGCTACTCATTTTAGCTTTTTTATTCTGACATGTTCCTAAAATGGGCTTAGACTCTGAAGGCACCTGTTAAAGAGTACAGTGTGAACAAAATCTTCTATGATCATAAAAGTGGAGTTTCAAGACTCATATTTTTGGAGAAATATAGCTCTGGAAGAGAAATTTAGGAGAAAAGAATACACTGACTGCAGCTGGGACTGTTGTATTTGGTAATGGAGATGATCATGTGGAACCTGCCTGAGTAATATGGAGAATATGCCCCATGTATTATTTTCCAGGTCAGTGAAGCTCCAAATACAAAATGAAACCATCAGAAAGTTTCCTTGAGCCTATGCCACTGATGGCAACTCTGAGTGCCTCTGGACTTGATTTTCAGAAGTTCCAGACCATCTCGGTTCCCAGTGTAATCAAGTGGAACTGTGGCTGCTGATCTTCAAGCTTAAGCACAGCTTGAGTTATAGACTTCAAGACTCTAATGAAATATTTTGTTCTTAACCTGCTGTGCAGATATGGGTTAGCTGTAGCTTCGGATCCCCTGTCTTAACTGCTTCAGGGTTGGATTGATGGGAAGGTTGTTTCTGAAAGAAAACAGAAGTAAATGGTTATGTAGAAAAGTGTGAAAATGGGCCATTTTCAGTGTGTTTTGCTGTATCTCACCACTTTTACCTGTCCTCCCTGAAAGACAGGCTTGGTTGTATGCACTTTTATTGTCTGAAGCTAGTTTTTGTTCACAGACTTAGCCAGACTCCCTTAGGTAATGTTTATTCACTTGTGTCACCAGGCAAATTCTGACACAGCTCATCAGCAGGAGGAGGGGCTTGTCCTAAATCTCCTGTAAGATCAGCTGACGGAGCAGTGTTAGATAATGCAAGTCCCCAGGTAACATGCAGGGCTGCAGATTATTCCTCAAGAAGTTTCTCTTTATATTTTCCCCGCCCTTCTCACTCCACATACCAAAACTGTTGTGCCAACCTGCCTCCAGAGGCCCTCTTCTGTGCCCTCTCTTGCATGCTCAGGTCCCCAGGACAGGCTGAACCCAGGTGACAGACGCAGTGGGGTGTTGTGTGAGCTGCAGGGCAGGAACAAGCCTCACACAGTTACCTTCAGCCAGCTGCCCCCTGAAATCAGCTTCTGTGCTGGATCCCACCCCACAGTACATGGGAAAGAGAGACTCACCGGTGCTGCGGGGTAGGACCTGACAATGTGGGCAATCCCAGACCCATGCCCAGCTGACACAGGCCTGGGCGGGACAAGCCTGTGTGTCTCTGGCAAGCACAGAGCCCAACCTGGCATTGCCTTCTGGAGGCACCTGCTTTTCTCTCACCATCGACCAGGAAGTTCTCTATAATCATCTCTGTAGATACCTGCGATGGCCTAGGAACAAAGTGGCCAGAGATGTCCTGCAAGCATGAATAGTTCCCACAGATGCTTTAATCTTGTCAAGAGGAGGGTGTTTTTCCAGTCCTGCATATAACTTGAGACCAGAGACCTAATTACCTCACAACTTTCCTTACGATGATACTAGTTATTTATTTTGAAGTATTTGGGGTTAGGCTAAGGGCATGAAAAAATAGAGAGGAAAGCCAAATCTTGAGCTTTTGTGGCTTTTTTTTTTTTTCCCCAGGACTACCTTGCTAAAGGATGCCTGAGGAATGCCTGGAGCCCTTGGCTGCAGGAAGGGGGCAAGAAGAGGTGAACTGCTTTGCCTATCGAGTATGAGGTTATGCAATGATAGATCCTCCCAGATGACTTGTCAAGTGCCTCTGCTAAGCAGGGACAAGTACAGAACAAGGGCATCATCACTCAATAAAATTTGCAAAACTGAAAGATGAGAAGAGAGCATTTGCGATCCACTA